AAAGCCTCAATCAACCACCGACTAAAAAGAGAAAATTTGAAGAAGAAAGGGCAAGCACAAGTCTTGCGCAACTAACATTAGAACAAACTCAAATTAAAGTGATTAAAAAGGATATTACTGTAAACATGACTGAAGAAACATTACAAAGTGACCTAGTTAAACTAGTCACTAATTTTTATTTATTTGTATTTTCAATTTTATAATTGAAAACAATTGTAATGTTTCAATTTTAACCAATTTTAACCAATTTAAATTGCTTTTTGNTATTGGGCTCGATTTATTTCAACTAACGTCATTTTTTTTTTAAATTTTAATTTCAACCGGAACTGAACCGAAATTTTTGACGAACCAAAAAATCTGAAACGATAAACATTTACTTGGAAGTAACCGTTAACCGGAACGATGTTAATTTCGGTTCGACTCTCTGTATAGATATAGTTAATATATAAATATAACTTGAATTTTATGTGCAGCATCGCTGCCGAGTTTTTAATGCGAGCATGAAAACCCTTCGGAATACGTAAAGCGGACCTTTTACGATGCGATTTTCAGTGCGGAACAGTCTATATTATTATTTTTTTTATATATTTATTGTTTTTTTTTTTCAGTTCGCGCATTAAAATATGTGTAACAATAAAAATGCATAGCACCACTGGATCACAACGTAAATCGCGAATCGTAAAAGCCGCACAATAAAAAAAAATCGTAAGAGATTACTAATCCAAAGGGCAGTAAAAATAATACCCCTAAACGTGGATTACACCTAAAAACCCAATACAATAAATATTTATTGTTAAATAATCGAATTTGTATAATTGATATACTCGAAATTATTACTTAAAAAGATATTACATATTCCAAATTTTTACTTAGCGTTTATGAAATATTACTATTAATGTTAATGAGATGGCGCTAAAACATTAATAATCATTCTATTAATTAAATCTTATTAAAGTTTGGATACTAAATTCAAAACATTAAAGCGCCACAAACGCTGAACTAAATTGTTTTAGTGAATAGCAATAGATGGCTAAAAGTTACAGTTATAAAAAGTTACAGATCTTTTGCCGCTATTCCAATTAAGATCTTATTTTAAATCAATTATTAACAAAAAAAAAACGATTTTTAATATTAATTCATAAACGTATTTATTTAAAAAAAAAACCTACTTCAGCTCCATCTGCTGGAGTATTTAAATTTAATCTTTGTGATGTAAATTACATTTATTTGTTACTTAATTATTTATCTGTTTACTGTATTCTGTTCAAAAATTAAATATGTAACAAATTAATTATTTTTTTCTATTTGTTATTGCTTCTACATGGGTTGTTTTAAATTGGTAAATTATGGTTTCATTATGGTGGTAATCTTGAACTGTTGGTAACTTTGTAAATTGTCCGGTTTGTCGTTTGTGATTATTTGCAAAATATTACTCTCGTTAAATTCGTTGCTATCAAATTCGATGACCATGACTGAGAAACCAAAATTGGATCTTGGCGTTTTGGAGGAGGATGATGAGTTCGAAGAGTTCCCAGTCGAAGGTATTGTGGAAAAAGAAATGTTAGAATTTTTGTGGTTATTTGTATGTTTTTTTTGTTTTGTTGTAGATTGGACTGGTAAGGACAAGGATGAACAAGACATCAGCGTGTGGGAAGACAACTGGGAGGATGATAATATTGAGGATGATTTCAATCATCAGTTGAGGGCTCAGCTGGAGAAGCAAAAAGCTAAGCCAGCAAATTAACTTTAAATGTATTCTCTTTAATGTATTGTAAAAATAAATCTTAATTACATATAATCAGCGTCGTACCTCTCAGACTCTGTTCTTGCTCCGACAGCGCATGATAACAATGCTTGTATACTCCTTTCCTCGCCACTCCCATAGACGTATCCGTTTGCTTTGTCCACAGCATTCTTCAATGTTAACAAACTTGTATCAGAACTAACATCTAGCGGAATAAAAGACACCAGACTGTAATCTTCTATCATACTAACAAGACTTTTATTAAGTTTCTTGTATTTGTTTGTGAAGGGTCCTTCATTCAGTAGTTCCAGCAAGTATTCCAAATCAAGAACATCTGTGTAAAAATCTAACCCGAATTCTAATTGACTTGAGTAATTTTTCAGTAAATCTGCCTGAAATTAAATCAAAATGTTTACCATCTATTGTAATATATACTGAAAGAGTACTTACTTTACTCAAGACATTAACATGAGGCAAACCGATCTGCAACATTGTAGATAAAGATAATAGCAAAGTCGATATGAATTTAGCAGGATTTGAACAGTAATTAGATTGAACCATGTGAACAGTGCACAAATGGTAACCAAGTTTCTCAAGCTTCTGGAAAATGTTCTTCGTTGAAGAATGATGTGTGTACAACTCCACTTGCCCAGGCATATCGAATATAAGATAACTGTCTTTGATTGCATTCAACTTCAACAGTAACCAATCAAAGTTCTGCTCCAGGTATTCCATGCAATGCATCAAAGCCCCATTTGGACCTAATCCTAAACCCTCCATTACCTCCTCAACTCTCACCAATTCCATAATATCTATCGCCGGCTGATACTGCATATTATCATTGGCAGGATCCAAATTGACGACATCTACCTGCCTGTTCAATTTCTCTTTGTAGAAATCGTAGACCTTAGCACAATAAGTTGTTTTCCCTGAGTCCGGTGGTCCGATCACCAGTTGCCCAAAGAACGAGCGAGCCTCTCTGGGCTGCTTAACTACTATTTTATTGGACATTTTTGAGAAATTCAGCAAGAGATCTCACTGTTTCCACAGAGTACGATTTCAGAGCTAAGAAAATCAGAAGGCTCTTGTTCAGGTTAAGTTTCTCTGCTAGGTATCTGGCTGCTCCCAATTGCAGCTCGTTCTCAGATCCAAACAAAGTTCTAACTGTGTAAACAGGCACACTCGTTTCCAAATCTGATTCCACCTCATCCACAGTCACCTTGATTAAAGCTCCCAACTTCTGGTACTGGGATGCAATGATTACAAAGTTACTGGAGAAATTGCCAGTAACTATATCAGTGTGCTCAGACCCGATGGTCGTAGCAAAAGTCTTCAGAATTGAACTCTTCTTGTTTCTTTCTACTTCATCAATTGGCAAAGCATCCAGTAAGCTGCTCAGATCCATGCTAACATAATCTTCCTAAGACAACAACAAATAGATTAATAAGTAAACATTACAAGCAGATTTTTGAAGTATTTATGTTAAACGATGATAAACAGTTAAATCACTTATTAAAATACTTACGAAACAGTTGTAATTCCCTTTAAATTAAGGATATATTCAATGAATTGCTGTGAACGAGAGATCGCCGCAAATATATGTTTTCTAGGTTATCTGTCAATTATGTCAAAAGATGTCAACATTATTATGGGATTTAATAATAGTGCCTAAAGTGTAAATAATATTTATAATTTCCAGTAGATTTAGAACTAAGTACAAATGCAACTATGGACGAGGAGACCTATTTTGAGAGCATCCTTTCATCGCTCCGGAAACCTCAGAACACCAAGAGACTCATGCAAATCCTGATAGCCCTCCGGAAAGCAGTGAACACACCAAACCACCAAGCCCGGATACAGATGATCAAGAGACACAACTGCATCAAGCCGCTTGTCAATTACACTCGGTATGATGGTAACATCAAAGTAGTTGATTTGGCCCTGAGCATTCTGGGGAATTGCTGCATGAACAATGTCATAGCCAGGCTCACAGTAAGTGATTGCACCAATCTTCACTTTCAAATAATTTAATTTTTTTTGTTTGGTAGATAAACGATTTGAATATTTTGCATAATTTGAATCGAGTATTGGAGAAACACAAGACGGACAGCATTGAAGGGAGGGTCTTCAGAATATTGGGGAATTTGTGTGATGGCTATCAGCCGTGGAATCTACTGAAGAGGGAACCTGATGTGGTGAAGAAGGTTCTGCAATTTTTGCAGGGCTTTGAAATTGAAAAGATACAGACACAGAGGGATAATGATGAGGAAGAATCAAATGATGGCATCACTGTACCAACAATCTCTATGGCTTTAAGGTTTATCAGGAAAATGTTAGTTAAGGATACTTTTGATCAGTTGGCCAATGAGCATAACCTAATCAAAATAGTGGGCGGAGCTTTAATCAAATGCTCGAACTTCTGGCTGCAGGATAACAGCAACGTTGTTTTAATCAACGATGTGTTAAAAATAGTGCAGATTTTGGCGTCTTCCATGTTCGAGCATCACGATATTATAATAGAGGTAACAAAATAGAAAAAGAAGCATAAACACGCATATATCTGTTTAATTTCAGTTAAGGAATACGGCGGATGGAAACGCGTTGAATTCGTTTGGTGATATTATCCTGCTGAATCCGGAGAGGATAGTGAAGATTATTTTGAAATACGCTAAATTATCGAAACATCAGTCGGATTTACCTATAGAATTAGTGATAACAAAGTTGATAGATGTCGTTCAACTGGATGGGGCTTCCACGAATAAATTGTATTTGAGCTGCGTGTGTCGGCTCATGGATCACATTGGCTTCCACGACAAGTTGAAGGAGAACATAAATCGCCTAGTCGAGTTGTTCAAAGGATTCGATTTGAACAACGACTATTCGATACAGTGCTGCACTTATATATGTTCAATACTCAACAAGAGCAAATACAATGAAACCTTGATTAAGTATCAATTGGCAGCGAACATCGTTGATATCATAATTGACAAATTGGAAGTTCTAACTGGAAAGTCCACCAGTAAATTCATGGTGGTAAATCACGAGCGAAGAAAATCGTTTAGCAGTTACAAGAACAACAAGAGGTTCAAACGAAATGTAAGGGTGGCGATATTAAATTAACGGAATATTTCATTTTGGAATCGTTTCAGGAATTGGAGGATGATAAGTATTTAAGTAGTTTGTACGATGCGAAAAGTTTAGATCGCTGCGCTAGTCCGAGTTCCTGCAGCGACATCTCATCGTGCGGACCATTCTCTCCTGCACCTTCCGGTCATAATATATGCGATGGTATTTCTACTTCTGCACCCTCTTGAAGGAGCCCCATGGAGAATTGTAAAAGCTGATTGTTGTGCACGGGGCTCCCATAAGCATGTTTCTTTAATGAGATCGTTCTATTTTTTTGTTTTTTCAAGATTCCGATTCGGATAATTATTCACCGTTGTGCAGCGAGAACGAATGCGACGAGGATTATAAGGTTCTGATACCGAACGATGATCTGGTGATGTCCGACAACGAGGAGAACAAACCATCGTATAATCACGGTACGCATGTTAATGACGGCGTTGATCCGGTGCTGTGCATTGCTTCGATTTTAGATCAGGTCGAGTTGAGGTGCAGATTTAGGGACGAGATGAGTGCGCTGCTGAAGATCTATTGCACGTTGAAACCGGTGTGCATGCAGCTGGGAAATCCAAAACTGATAACAGTTTTAATAAATATCGTGTTGGATGTTTCGCCGGTCAAGGGAAACTGCGACAACGTATTGTCTGTGATCCTTTCCATAGCCAAGTAACTGCTACAAAAATGAATTTCAATATCTTTAGTTAATTATTATTGTCGGTTTCAGCACCAGGGAATTCTTAATTCCGTTGATGATCTCTGGCATAATAGCGCAGATCTACGAGATTATGGAAACGAGACATGGATCCGAATGCAGAGACTGCGAGAGCATCAGAGTTAAAGTTGATGATATTATGGCCAAGTTCTTGTCCGTCGGACATTCCGAGAGTATTCGCGGCGATATAGCTCACATGCTATTGAAGACGAGCAAGACTGACGTTAAAGAGAGATTGGTACTTGCCATTCCTTATATTTTAAGGTAATCGTACAATATTTTTTTTCGTAAAACGCATGAATTTAAAAATTGTTATTTGATTTAGGAATAATCACACGTTAAACAAATTATTGCTAAAGTGCGGTGGCTTGACCATATTAATGAAGCTGTTGGGCGACAAATCGAATATGAGTTTGCAGGAGGAAACCATAAAATCGGTGTGCGCTTTGGCTACAGATAGCTTGAAAATCAAAAATCCTGTGGTTAAAAAGTCTGAAAATGATGGTCCTAAGATAATAGTCAAAGCGTACAGGATGGAGAATCCATGCGAGAATTTAGTGAAATTCAAATTGGAGGACGGCAGTTTCGTGGAGGCCGACCGAGACGAGATGAACAAGATCTCGGACTATTTCAGTACTCTGTTGAGCGGATCTTTCATGGAATCTGGGCAAACGGAAATCAACTTGAAGAATGTGTCGAAAGACTCGCTGAGTTGTCTGTTGCAGCTGCTCAAACTCGATGTGAACTTCTCCGTTAAAGACTGGGGCGTTTTTGAGTTCGAGTACGATCTGGAAACGGTTTTAGAAGTGATTCTGCTAACCGATAGATTCCTTTTACCCAAACTGCATTACGTCTTGATCGCGCATATGGAGCAGGCGATCTGCACCAGTTCCGTTCCTTCCATATACAGATGGTCGATAGAATCTGGAACGAACATACTGCGGGTGGAGAGTGTGGCCTTCGCTTTAGTCGGTGATATTAGCTACAAGAAACGCTTGGAAATGTTCAACAGTTTATTCGAAATCGGCTATTTCCTAGAACTGCTCGAAGATATCGAAAAGTTGATCACGCAATTTTTATAAATGTGAAAATAATTTACTCTTATTTTTAATAAATTATTGTTATTTAAAATTGTCAAACTATTTATTTCAGTCTCAGCATGAAACGTTTTATTTATTTCATAGAAAAACTCGTCGTTTAAGTAACATTGTACTAATTATTATTGCATTTATTTTCTGAAAACAAAATACAAACGCAAGAAATGTAAGAAACGAATCATAGTACAATATAAATACACATCGGAATCAAGATCTACCGGGCATTTACTTCGTCTCTCTCTCTCTCACACTTCCATCATTATTAATATTATACAATTTCAAAGAGAACAGAAATTATTCAACAGATTTGATGTATTTAATATTAAGTCTAAGTTTTGTATAATAATCGTCCTAAATAATAGAAATGTAATTATTTACAATCATCATCAAACGAAAGATATTTACAGAAATCGATTTATTCTTATGTACAGGTGTGTTGCTTGTGGTCAATCTTAATTTGATGAGATTTTGTTGAAAGTAAAGACAAAAGGAAATTAATTTAACTAATAATTCTCTTTTTCAATGCATTTCCTGTATGTGTATGTATATATATTATTGTAAGCTTTATTACAAATAATACGGAACAAATAGTTTGCATTGGCATAAGTATTTGTTTGGTTTAAGTTACATTAAAATATAAACAAAATCTCAAATAAGTTAATTGTCGTAATAATACAAAATTACATGAACGATTGATAAATGTTATTCCGATGAAACGTAATAACATTGATGTTTATATATATGTATAATAACAGTAAAATAAAATAATTTATATATGCGTGTAAAGAAAATAATATAAAGAGGAAAACGAAAAGTAGTCTGCGATACCAATATGGTACAGGAAATGTATATAATATATAAAAAATATATAAAAATTACTTTTGTTAGATTCATTGACAACTATACGGGGTGGCTGTAAAATATGTGTGCACTGTATGTGGCTTCGGTGCCGAATCGTTTTTTGCAAAAGGGACACGGATATCGCGACCCACCGCACTGGTTCTTCTTGTGGAAGTAAAGGTTCGATTTGTTTGCGAACGGCTGCGAACAACTCGAGCACTTGTACGTCTTCTCCGCGGAGGATGATTCCATTAAAGAGGATGGGGACAAAGAGTGATGCTGTTGCAACTGCTCCTGTTGTTGCTGCTGCTGTTGTCTCTGTTGTAGCTGCTGCTGATTTGATTTGTTGCTGCTACCGCCATACGACGAAGCCGGTGAATCCGATTTCGTCTTGATGGTTATGTTCGGGTTGTTCTGCACCAGCTCCATGATCTCAGCGCTCACCTTGTTACGCTGATTGATTGGAGTGATGCTAACGCTGCCGATGTTGGATGGTACTTTCGTTGATGGTCCTTCGTGTATCTCCACGATTGGTTCGAAGGTGTCTTGCTCACGTTTGATGCGTTTCGCGGGGTTCATCGGCTCGGGGGACGTCATCGATTCGTATCGAGAAGGCAACCTCTGTGAAGAAGGAGGAGGACTTGCGGGTGCCCTCCTGAATCCAACCTTATGTATCCTCATATGGCTGTTTCTTGAATGCACCGTGGGGAAGACGGACGAGCACAGGGTGCACTCGAACTGCCCTGGACTATTCCTCTGCTTTGACTTGATTAACTTCGGAAGGGTAGTAGCAGTCGTCGTCGCAGCCGCCGCCGTCGACGACGTCGTGGGCGGCGTACTCGGTGGGGGTTTATACTCAACATCGTCGCAGTAAGATGATATCTCCTTCACGCAATGTCTGACTGGCCTGCCAGTGGATGAGTACACTTCTACATCGTTCTCGATCTTCGTCTTCACTGGGGTCTTGATCAGCGGCTCTTTATCCTTTTTAAGGTACGGCCTGATCACTTGCATTTCCGGTACCATAATCTCCCCGGTGCACAGCTTATTGTGCTCATTGTACTCGTTCAATCTGCAAAACACCTGATAACACTTCTTGCAGAAATACGCCTTGTTGTCGCTCTTCTGCAGATCCGCCGTTGTCATTGGTGTCAGACCTGGCTCCGTTTTAATTTGTACTAAATCATCCTTCATCTTCAGTGTATCGACATTTTTCTTCTCCATCAAGGATTTTATCTTAATTGGTTTCACTTTCGAAATGAATTTTCTATAATGGCTAGTCGATGGTATGAATGGTCGCAAACACGAAGCGGATAGCAGTTTCGGTACAGTTCCGCTCTTAGATTTGTTCACGAAGACTTTATCGGACTTGAAATGGCCGGCCGCCTTATGATCATCGATGTGCTTCGCGAAAGAGTATTTGTTCTTGTTGAATTTTACTCCACAGTAGTTGCACGAATAGTAGCAAGTCCGCGACATGTAGTGCAACTCGATGGCCCAATTGTCCTTAAAAGTATACCTGCAGAGGTTGCAGAACTTCCTGTTAGCGCCGTTCAGACGGACGCTCTGGTAGAAATCACCGCGTTCATCTTTTGGAATATCCTTGAGCGAAATCCCGTTCAGCGTCGGCTGTTCGTTCACGAAAACTATATCGGAACTCCTAGCTACATTCAGCATGTCCATCTCGGTGTCCTCGTCCATAGGAACAAGGAGATCTTCACTTTCGTCCTCCTCATCCTCTTCCATTTCTTCGTCGCCCTCCTCTTCTATTTCAGCATCTGCATCGGCCTCGTCGTCCATAGTAGAGCACTCTTCTGAATCAAATTGCGCGTTGTACCATTTATTCCTGACCAGCGCATTGGACTCGTCCATGGACCAATAGCCATCAGCGTCGACCTTCTCCAGATTAAGTTTGATGTGATACTGCATCTCGTGCAGCGCCAGATCATTCTCATTATCAAACACAGCCTCGCAGTAAACGCATAAAGGTATGATCTCCTCTCGCTCCATTTCCGTCACCTCGAAGGGTTTCTCGTCGTAATCAGGTACGTGTTGTTTATTTTGGGAGTGTAGGATGCACTTTAGCAACGTGAAAGGATCGTACCTGACGAACTTGGTCATCTTGATGCGCGGATTCGGGGACATTTGGCACTTTGGTCCGATGACTCGCTTCTTCTTCACGATTGGCATCGTGTATGGTTCCATGTTTCGACACTTCAGCATGACCCTGTCGCGTTCGCTGTTCATGTCTTCGCAGATATCCATGTCGCTGTCCATATCATTGTTGTTGTGGCCGTTCACCCTGATCATGATGGAGTTCAGCGAGTTCAGATCCGAATCATCGTCCATCCGACTATAATGAAATGAATCCGTCAATGTTGATGTATCCTTCATGATCAACTTGGCGGATCGATCTCCATTCTGAAGCTTTTCATTCTGTGCAAACAAGACAAAAATTATATTATAAAATATATATTCCAAATATTTTCTGATACTAATTTTCTTTTACTGTATTTGGAAAACAATTCTATTTCCAAACATTGTAGAATTGATAATTTCAATTTTAAAAAGCTTACACAAATTGAATATTGAAGATTCCAGAAAATTTTTATAGAGTACATATAAAAATATACAATGTTTTATAGTAGGCCAAGTAACCAGTAACATGTATAAAAATAATTGAACACTGTGTATTAGTCATATTTGTAAAAATGTTGAT